CCACTTTCCGTAGGACTTTTTTAATGGTTCAGTATGTTCATTAAGACCAAGTACTCTATCGTTATACCAAGCAAATCGTCTATTTTAATTTTAACAAACGTCACTCATTTTCTAAAACTTTGATGATTTTTTAAAATGAAACTACTTGTCGTAAGGCCGTAATATTTCAGTAAGTTCTATAAGATCGCCAAAAGAAGTTTCATGAAAATTGGCTTAAATTTTTTTTCAACTGTTAATCACAAGAAAACGGCTCGGTAGATTTTCATCTAAAACTAATCAGTATCATTCCCAACTAATATCTTTCGAACAGTTTTTGATTTTTTATAATCGATTCGGTAGTATGAGCTTAAATGTGGATGAGAAGTTTAACACTTTTTTCCAAATTACAAAGAAACGGCTAGGCCGATCGTCGCACAAAACTGAGAAACGATAATTCTTATCGAGATACATCAAATGGTTTTTAAATTTCTGAAATCGGTTCAGGCGTTTTTGAGCAAACGTCGATGACTAATTTTGACAAATGCCAGAAAGGCCATACTAATTTTTGCAAACTTTGACGAATTTTCAAAGCTAAACGAGTTGTTATAGGGCCATAATATTTTAATATGATCCAGAAGACTATGGTATCCAGCGTCCAGCGGTTTCGGAGATACAGAGCTAAATGTGCAAAAAATGGCAGTTTTTGAGAGAACTAAGCGTCCGATTTGAATGATTCAAAGGACTTTCTGCTTGTTATAACAAAATAATTGCTTTTGGAAAAAAAATTAGGTATATCGAAAATAATTCAGATTTTAATTGTAATTCTGACTTAAGTTCTAATATACTTTAAACCAATATTTTCAACTTTGCAATTCAGTTTATATAATTCTTATAAATATTAGACAATGTTAGTATTTATAATAATCTATTCGAAAATTTATTCAATATTCGTCGATGATTTCGTTAGGGTATGGAAAGTTCTAGCAATTTGCCTTAAGGCACGATGCCGTACATTCCACTAATTTAATTTAATTTGTTCTTCATATTAATATAATCACATACAAAGTGATTATATACTCCTAAGCGTTTTACCCAACGTATTAAAAATTTGAAAAACAAACTAGATTTAAAAAAAATTATTTATGTTTATTAAAAATTACATTTTTAAATTACACAAATAATCCGTTTCGCATAACTTGGGATTCGTGCGACTTCAAAGTAAAAGTATGTAGTATACATGAATAAATATTGATTTTATACAAGTTATGTAAAAATAATTATTGATCGAAATCACTTATTAGTATTCTCAAAGCAATTTATTTATATTGATAATGAAAAAAATTAATTGCATGAAAATGCACATACGTACGACTTCATGCTAGTTTTATGCTAAAACTAGCATTTTTTCTGAAAAATGATTAGATTAAATTTTGAGGCTTACAATTTAAATACAATAATCCAGCGTTACTGTTCGAAATTCTATGATCACCAGTGAAAAAATATTATTTTTTTCTTAAAATATATGAAATATAAGGTTGTTCCTATAGAAATCTTATTTTGTCAAAAAAAAACATAGCTCACATGGTAATTTATATCTTAAAAGTCAACTTAGGTATTGTTTTAAGAAATCAAAAAAAACTCTTCTACTTTTTTAATGTCACATTTTTGGCATTTGTTTGTGTAAATTATTATTATCACAGGGCCCTTGAATGTAGCAAAATAGTTTACGGATTTCTTTGTAATATTCTCCAATAATCTAATTGGCTTTTGTGAAATAATTGGAACAGTAAATACTGAGTAAATAAATAAAATATTTTGGAGTCAAATTTTCGTAGCTTTCTCTTTAAAAATTTCTTAAAGCTTTTTCAAATGGCTGAATCGAATTTCTGGTGATATTTTGTAAATATAAATATCAAAAAATTATTTCACCTATCTAAAATTCCTCGCTGTACTTTTGGCTAGCCAAATAATTAACGTATATCTTTGCTCTTTTAAACAATAGATAAGTATTGAAAAAAATCGAACTCGAAGTCATTTTCCAGCTACGCTTTCTTCGGAAATGTTTCTTATAATCCTAAAAGTAAGTCCTAGTAAATCCTACAAATTGACCAGCTTTAATATATATTACATTATTCTAATACGTTGAGAATCAACATGGTTATTGACTAGCGCATGAATTCGTCGGAAATGTGTTTCCATCAACCAGAAATAGAATAAAAATCAATACTTGCTTTTTATTCTCAAAATTTAACGCGTTTCCTTAATTGACTATTCAATAATAAATTTATGAACTGAATTTTTCATTGACAGTATTCGTTTTTTAAAAATTCTCAAAATGCTCGGCGCTTCTTTCGCATATTTTCTTCAGTAATTCCATAACAGGAAACTTTGTAAAATAAAAATGTTTACTTATCTTTACGTTTCAAAGGTTTTTGAACATTTTGGTGTACCTTAGAAAACATTGATGTATGTGTGCGTGTGTGTGCGGATACAAATTTTCGTCGACGATTTCGAGAACACGGATCAACCAATTTAAATAATTTAAAAACCATTCGATTTGTATTGTAATTATTCAAAACAATTATTGTTTATTTTCATTTCTCGGATGTTAAATTACGGTACGGGAAGTTTTCCTGAAAGCAAAGGCACGATGCCATGCACCCCACTAGTTAATTCACAATATTTTATTAAGAACATATAAAATTGAACAGTTTTTTCCATTCGCCCAATTAAAACCTTCATCGCCTAGTATGTTAACATTCAAATATTTGGATAGATTGTATTGAATCTCAATAAAATGCGACAGAATACGTGTAGGTACAACCGACAGAAGAACAGATAAACAGTTAAAAGTAAAATGAACAGCAGTCATATTTGTATAAGCATTTCACTAAATGATTATGAAGTATATATAAATTCAGAAAAAACAAAAACAAGACAAAAGTCCCGTATTGGCCGGGGCAGTCTCAAAAGCAATATTTATACTGGATTCAAGTTTCGTTTCCAGGATTTTGCCAATTTTTGAAATATTTTTTTTTAACTTTCCGTAGAAAAGTTCCGTCACTCACTTTTTGCTCCGTATCTCCGAAACGGCTGGACCCGCTTTTGCCAAAAACTATCGGAAATCACAACTTCTCCGTATTAATAGTAATCAAATGTTTTTTGAATCATTTAAATCGGTTGATTCGTGCGCCCGAAATCGTGAACGAAAAATTGTATCCCAACATACACACACACAAAGAGCCATTTTTTCTGAGGTATGCCAAAATGTTCAGAAACCTTTGAAACGTAAAGATATGCAAAAATTTTCATTTTCGATTATTTTGCGATCACTATAACTTACCCTACGGAAAGTTGAAAATATGGTCAACTTATATAAAAAATTGTATCATATGTTATACAATAAAAATGATGACATTACGAATATTTTTTATCCCTAATAGTTATTATTTTTAGAATAATAATAAATCAAAATATATATTGTATTTTCTCATAACAGGTATATTTTTCAATTTTACAGGATCTACATGATTTGGAAGAATCGAAAATACCCTTTTGCATAGTGTCTTGAAAGTGTTTCAAAGGCATTGATTTTTGTTTCATTTACAAGTTGAAAGTTATAACTAGTATAATATCTGGTATATTGTAAATCATTTTTTTTATAAACATAAAATTTATTGTAGTGATATCGATATATAGTCACTTTTTTCACATTTTACGAATGCAATGAAGATTTGCAATTAATAGAAATTATGGAAGGGCGTTGCTCTTGATATAACCTTTAACACATTCTGAAATAATTATCTATTTTTTGTGAATCGCGTTTTGAATTCGGAATATCACTATTAACCATGTAAAAAATGAATAAATAAACGGTGAATACACTTTTAAAATAATTTATGTAAACATACGGTGAAATCAACATTTGACAAATAGAATTGCTACCACCATCTCTCGTAAGAAAATTTTAGTACATTTATGAAAAGGTAGAAAATTTAATAACAATTGTATGAAAGTTTATTCAAATCCAAACAATAATTATAATTTACTTAAGTATATTACCTCTTTTCGGTAGAATTAAATTTGTAGATGAGTATCGCAGTAACTGGGAATTATATTTCCGAGCAGAACACACAAGTTTAGGATGTGTGAGCAGAATTTTTTTTATTCAATTTTGTTCTGCAATCTGTATATATTATATTGTTAAGCAGCGATCCTAAACGATCGATAGGTCGACCGAAAGGTCGATAAAAATTTTCATAAAGTTACTCATGCAATCTATTGCAAAATAAAAATTAGTAAATAATACTTAGTTTTATTATTCTATTATGAGCTTTACAACTATATCTAGTTACAAGACTTTACCTAAAATTGACATTAATCTTTCTGCTCAAGCACCATTGCTGCATTTCCCTGCACTCATTACAAAAAAATTATATTAAAAGTTTTATTATTCCAAATATGATTAGATAGTAATATCTCTCAACCCTGTGTTTTAAATTTTGTATGACTAGCCTGGTTAGCAATTATGTTCAACCTCTCATTAAAAATTTGTTTGATGTTTTCAGAACGACAAACCTCTTTCAGCACTTCTTCAGAAGATTATCTCCGGATGATTTGAGGACTGCGGAGCTTTAACAATAACAGCCTGTAAAAACTTTACAATCAATAAGATTTTATCCAACTATTTCTATTTGCGACTATTCCAGATCACTTTACCTGATAATGAGACGCGTTGTTTTTCGCCGAAAAGGTGTAATGAAATCAAAAATGTATTTGAATAACATGCTTTTGAAGCGTGGCGGTCATTTTCTATCTATTACCTATTTTTTCTGACTGGATATTTGATTTAGTGAAAATGCATATCTAACATTAGATTAGGTTTTATTCAACACAAAAAGATATCTGTATAAATAAATATACATAAAGGATTGTCTCTAATCAATTATGGTCGAACAATTCTTCAAGATATCCTGCTTGTCTATATGTGACATACTACACTTATGATCTCATTATCATTTTCAATACTCTTCTTCTCCATCATCTTCAACAGATTCCAAGCCTACTTCCTCATAATCTTTCTCTAAGGCGGCTAAATCCTCACGAGCTTCAGCAAACTCTCCTTCTTCCATTCCTTCACCAACATACCTAATTTTAATTAAAAAAACTATTGGTTTACATTATTACAAATAAATGGTATATTGCAGACTTTTATATTGAATGTGCTTCTATGAATTAAGGTAAGTATCTTACTTTTAGACACGTTTGTATTGATTATGTTACTTAAAGACTCATTTTTTATTACCATTTTTGACAAGCAATGTACTATCATAAAATTTCGGTTGGCGTCATTATTATCGACTATTTTAAATTTTATATATTTTATACCTGTCTTGCTAACGAGACTATATTAGCAAAATCGATCCGGGCCTGTGGTATGTTTGTACCAAAAAAAATTTGTACCACGTGTCATTTAAAAAAAACAACACGTGGCGCTGCTAGCTTTAATATTGAGCTAGCAAGACCACTTTTTCAAGACTACTTTTTGTTTTAGAAGAAAGTAAATAAAATAAAATGGAAATTGATTAATTCGAATTTGTACTAATTTGTACCACCAAAATAAAACCAAAAAATCGAAAATGGATACTAAAATAAGTACCCCTTGACGGCCGGACCACCCTAATATGAGATCTTTTGTGAAGATAGGTATACAGTGCAGAGCAAAAGCCTTTATTGAAGTCAAAAAGAACAAAACAAAATAATCTTTGATAATCCTATAAAATAACAGATTTTTATAAAAATTACCACCACCGTATTGCCCCAAATCACCCCCAAAATTTTTTGGCTTTATTTTGGTGGTACAAATTCGATTTAATCAATTTCCATTTTATTTTATTTACTTTCTTCTAAAACAAAAAGTGGTCTTGCTAAGGTAATATTAAAGCAAGCAGCGCCACAAGTTCTTTTAAACGGCACGTGGTACAATTTTTTTTCTGGTACAAATTAGTACATAATAAGTACTAAAGAATACAACAGGTCCGGATCAATTTTGCTAATTTCGTTTTGCTAGCTTAAGAGAGGTATATTTTATTTCGTTTCTTTGTTCAATCTTTTGTGATTTTCTAAATTATTTGAATAATTGGGGTTATTTATTGCAAAATCTAAGGCTGGTTGTAACATCCAAAATGATATTGTTTGGTATGGAATGAAGTCTATACAGATTCAAATGAAAAAGATTGGATGGAATGTATAGATTGTAAGATGTAAGCACAAGTTAATAAATGTTAACACATCACTCTATAAATTCGTAGAGTTATTTATATTTGGATATTAAAATTTTGGGTAATTCGTAGTTGAAATGCGGACTTTAGTTAGGAATAAATTATCAAAGGTATTAATGTCGCTCCTTTGTCGTTACTACTTGGCTAGGTATATGTTACAACTAGCCCCAAACACTGGATAAGTTGTAACAACACTTTTTCTAGATATTGATTAATTATGAAATAATGAACAATAGTTTTGAAGATATTTTTACTTAATTCGGTAAAGGAATAGAATCGATGCATTTTTTTTCCTAGAAATATAATCTGTGGATTTCACGATACATGAATTCAATAAAAAAAAGAGTGCGCGTAAGGATCACACGCGATTGAAGTAAAACTTTTAATATTGTATGAGTAGGCAATTAAGATAAAAATAAAAAAACATATTTGAATTTTAAAAATCATTTATTAATAATCACATATAACATCAATAACACAGTTTAAAACAACAGCGATAGATTAATTGCTATCATATTTCATATATGATATAATAGGTTTGTGATAACTGAAATGAGAGACATAAATTTTGCTTTGTAAACTATGTACATTTCTGGAGAAAACTGCATCAATAGTCGAGCCATACCTTGTGGTTGAATCAAATGGAGAATTATTCATTGTTAAATTAAATTTATTATTTAAAAAATCAATTAATGGTTGAGATTCTTCTGAACGAAAATTGACATTGAAATCTCCAGCAAGAATTAATGGTATCTCGTTGTGATTAGTGTTTAAAAGTTTTGCACCCTCATTAGAAAAATGAAGTAACTGCTGATGAAGAAATTCAATAATATTTGATATGTTTTTATTGGGAGAAATTTAAAGGACGACTATAATCAATGTTTGATTCTGTGTGTGTAATATCACCTACTTGTGTAATTTCATTAGGAATGTCCAGTAATATTGTTGGCGCAAGAAACTGCATAGGAGTCGCATTATGAAGAGTATCTGAACATGAATGATAGACAGCTACACCACCTGCTCTTGAGTTTGATCGTTTGTATTGAGTAACGCAGTAATAGTTCTGAATATCAATTCGTTCTTCATTATTAATCCAAGTTTCCGAAAATAACAAAAACGTACAACGTTGTAGCACTTTATCTAGCAGATCAGGCAAATGAGCTCGTAAACTTTGGCAGTTAAACGAAAACAATGAAATGTCGTTCAAACTTATTATCTCACTCAATTTTTCTTCTTGTGTTATTAATCTACAAGTTGAAAGTCTTTGGAATTCAGTTTTTAAGTCCATTAATCCTGCTGGCCGTTTTCTACCATTATAAATTTTTTTGTCGTTGTTTTAGAAATGATGAACAATCCATTAATGCTGGTAACTCGTGATAATGCAACATATAGAAGCTGCTGATTATGTGTTTTATTGTATTCATATACAATTTTATCAAAAGTACCACCTTGTGATTTGTGTATTGTGAGTGCACAAGCAGACACTAAAGGAAAATGATTTCTTTTGACAAATATGATTTCCTGAGAATCGGCACAGCTGTCCTACTGATATTAAGAGTTTGAATATGATGTGCAGCTTTTTTCCTAATTTTGTTACCTATCTTACCAGGAAATTCAAACCATAAACGTAGAAGTTCATCATTATCGCCACGTTCTATGTACACTAATTTTCCTACACAACCATTAGCTAAGCCATCACTCACATCAATATTAGTTGTTATTATGCAAAATTTATTCAGAACTAAAATTATTTCATACGGCAAACCCCCGGTATCAATAACCGATTTTTGTGAAACTGCTGACGAATGTATGATTGTTGATCTGTCGCATGGCAACCTACATAAATATCCGTGGCAGTAGATATTATTTTGTCTTCAACGAGATTCAATATAAATTTATTATATTCCATGACACATTTATTCTCTAAGAAAAGTCTTATTCCATGAGGACATAACATAAAAAACATGATTCAATTAATGCAAGTTCATATAGGGTTTAGCGCTCGACTTACGCGACATCAGCGCTTACGGCGTCGTAGTGTTCAACTGCACGTTGGCGTTTTCGTTGCATTTGTACGGATTTACACCCGTGTAGCCTAAAGAAATTTTTACACCCATATCGCGCCTAAAGAAGTTTTACTTCAAAACTGTTACAACAATTTCCTAGCTTCTCTATTCGATATGATTTCAAATGTAGAACAATTAAGTAACTTAATAATTCAATTACTAAATACAAATAAAAATATTTAATATCAAATAATTATTCTAAAACAATCACTATAATCATTTTCATTTTGGCTAAACCAAAAAAAAATCGTGCTTATATTTACAAATGTGTCTCACCAGTGTACGAAAGCGCGCTTTGCATACATTAAATCGAACTTATGATTAAGCCTGGCCCACGCCTCGGCAATTGCAGTCGTGTTGGACAACATGCAAACGGCTCTTTGAACTTTGGCTAAATCGCCGCCTGGCACTACGGTCGGTGGCTGGTAATTTATTCCAACCTGCACCAATTATTAAATCAATATCAGTCCCACCATGTGTAAATATTAAATCACTATCACTTTGTGCAGATGATTTATAAATACAGTTATGAGTGAATTACGGGGCTTTCCCGTAAGTTAATGATTAGAATTATGCTAATTATTATGCACATTAAAGTCTATCAATAATCATTGATCAGTTTTTATTATTTGTTGATTGAATGGATATTTTATTCCTCGAATGTTTTTTCCGCCACGTGAAGTTCCAGAAATTTGCCTCAAGGCACAATGTCATGCACCCCAAATTATTAACTTCCCGTAGGGTAAGTTATAGTAATCGTCCAAAAATCAAAAATGAAAATTTTTATATATCTTCACGTTTCAAAGGTTTCTGAACATTTTGGCATACCTCAGAAAAAATGGATGTGTGTGTGTATGTGTGGATATAATTTTTTGTCCACGTTTTCGGGCGCACGGATCAACCGATTTGAAGGGTTCAAAAAGCGTTTGATTCCTACTAATAGGGAGATGTGCTGATTAGTTTTTGGCAACGGCAGGTTCAGCCGTTACGGAGATACGGAGCAAAGAGTGCAGAAAATACAAATCGAGTTTTTGAGAGAACGGAGTATCGGATTTGATGATCTAAAAAACATTCAATTTGTAATGATTGGGAGAAGGGTGATTAGTTTTTGGCTAAGACAGGTCTAGCCGTTTCGGAGATACAGAGCTAAATGTGCTAATTTAATTGATAAATTACCTAAGCACTTGTTACTTCAGTTATGAGATACTAGAAATATGTGTGATTACAAAAATTTAGTATTTATAAATTATTGCATTTGGAAAGCTATAATTTGGATATGTGATGCCTAAAACTATGTACTAAATTTAAAAAATATTAAACACATTTATGTTAGTACTAAATTAAAAGTTATTAATTATTTAATTAAAAAACTAACTAAGCACATTAGTTACTTCAGTTGTGAGAGACTTCAAATATGTGTGATTCAATTTTTTTTCTCAATTTTTTTTCTCAAAAAAGTTTTTTTTTGTATATCGAAAATAATTCAGATTTTAATTGTAATTCTGACTTAGTTCTAATATACTTTAAACAAATATTTTCAACTTTGCAATTCAGTTTATATAATTCTTATTAATATTGGACAATGTTACAATATTTATAATATAATTTATTTGAAAACATTCAATATTCCTCGAACATTTCGTTAAGGTACGGGAAGTTCCAGCAATTTGCCTTAAGGCACGATGCCATACACCACTAGTTTCAAGTTAGATTCAACAGTTTTTTTTATAACCGCTAGAAAAGCTTTCATGTGGTTGGGTTAAAAAAGACCAACAGAACCTTTACACTGACGTAGAGGTAAACATTGAGAATAAAAAAATACAAAAGATAAATTAATAACTAGTGGTGCATGGCATCGTGCCTTAAGGCAAATTGCTGTAACTATCCGTACCAAAAATAAAGTTTTTAAAAAAGATTCAATTTTTTATAGAAAAAATTTACCTTTTTGATAAATTTTATTTTTTTATACTTTTTTTAAAGCAATCACTATACTTTATAGCTGCGTAGAAACGAAATATCAAAGCGCGTGGGCGCCGCGTTGCTGTATAACGGACAAACATTGGTACGTAACCCATTGAAATACAAACAAAATTTATTCTTATCATTAAAATATGTATAACATATGTGATAATTAGATGTGCATATGTATAATGATAATTTTTGTCCGCCAAATGGCATTTTTTTACTTATTTTTTTGGATTTCCGAAACAGCTAGACCTGACTTTCCTAAAATTTTATCAGTTCAAATAAAATGTTTTTTGAAATAATCAAATCGGACGCTCTGCTCTCTCAAAAATTGAATTATCATTTTTGGCACTTTTTGCACCGTATCTTCCAAACGGCTGAATCTGTCTTTGCCAAAAACTAATCAGCACATCTCCTTATAAATAGGAACCGAATGTTTTTTGAATTATTTAAATTGATTGATCCGTGTTCTCAAAACCGTCGACAAAAAATTATATCCGCACATACGTTCACACAAACGCACACACACTTTTCTAAAAGATATGTCAAAAGATATGTCTTTAAGATATGTCAAAATGTTTAGAATCTTCTACGGGAAGTTAATTAATAGTTATTTCAACTCGTTATTTTGTGAAAAAATAGTGTAATCTTTGTGAAAAACGTGCCCATGAAAATTGTATGTTTCATTGGTTAAATAATGGAGCTGTTATTTTATAAATTCCTATTAAAATTAAAAATAAAACATAGGATCCATTATCTACCAGGCTGTGACTTTAACCCTGCCTAAGGGATAAAAAGGAACAAATTGCTAATTTTAAAAGAATAGCAAAAACATATTTTTTGCTGTGGTACATACACATAACATACATAACCCTTGGATCCTTAGTACATACCAAAAATTAATTTTATTTGTGATCATATTCGTTATTAAGCTTTCCATAAGTTAGTTGGATTAAATAGTGCTTCTTACCTTAAATCCAGTGGGACACCAATCCACAAATTGTATACTTCTCTTGGTTTTGATGGTGGCAATCGCCGAATTAACGTCTTTCGGAACCACATCGCCGCGGTAAAGAAGACAGCACGCCATATATTTTCCATGACGGGGATCGCACTTCACTAGTTGATTAGCTGGTTCGAAACATGCGTTCGTTATTTCGGCTACGCAAAGCTGCTCATGATACGCCTTTTCCGCGGAAATAACCGGAGCATAAGTCACCAGCGGAAAATGAATACGCGGATACGGCACCAAATTTGTTTGAAACTCAGTCAAATCAACATTCAAGGCCCCATCAAATCTGTAATTGGAAATATAGTTATTATTTTTCATTAAAAAGTTTTCATTAAAATTTTGTGAATTATAGACGAGGATGTAAATTAAAGCTTAAAGATTATGGGGGTCATGTTTACTTATCTACGATGGGGCTTATGACTATCAATATACTAGTACCAAACCTGACTTTTCACGAATTTGTAAATGAATACAAAATACAAAAAAGTTATAATGGCAAAACAAGTCAATAATTTCTTGTTTAATAATATACTATAATGCTTAAAAGTCATAATAGTACATGTATTTGTTTTTTAAACAAATGCAAATAAACGTAAAGATGGTTTACTACTCCCGAGAACGCAAAAGAATTTTCAAATACGAATAAATTCAGTTATTGATCCTATTTTACTAATTACAAATACGAAATACGAATCGACAAAAAAAATCATCGTGTTAGTAAGAAAGATAAGTATATATATATATATATATATATATATATATATATATATATTACTCTTTATTTTGATACGATTTGATATGATTTAATTTGGGAATCAATGTCTCTTAGCTCTATCAATTGATTTATTAGAAACAAAGGCCCCAATCTGGTATTTAAATAATTTATACGCTATTTAAAAATCTTTTTGAAACAATCCGATATACCAATTTTCAACTTTGTACCTCATCTTATAGCTGAGATATCACTGAAAATATGCCAAAGTGGCCCCTTTTTTAACTTCCCGTAGGGCAAATTATAGTAATCGCAAAAAAATCGAAAATAAATTTTTTTGTATATTTTTACGTTTCAAAGGTTTCTGAATATTTTGGCATACCTAAGAAAAAATGGATGTATGTGTGTGTCTTCTTTTAACTTCCCGTAGGGCAAGTTATAGTAATCGCGAAAAAATCGAAAATAAAAAAATTTTATATATCTTTGCGTTTCAAAGGATTCTGAACATTTTGGCATACCTAAGAAAAAATGGATGTATGTGTATGTGTATGTGTATGTGTGTGTGTGTGTGCGCGCGGATACTTTTCGTCGACGATTTCGGAACGGATCAACCGATTTGAATAATTGAAAAAACATTCGATTCATATTGATGCGGAGATGTGCTGATTAGTTTTTGGCGAAGGCAGGTCTACCCGTTCCGAAGATACGGGGCAAAAAGAGCCAAAAATGGTAACTCAGCTTTTAAGAGAACGGACTGTCCAATTTTAATAATTCAAAAAACATTTTACTTGTATTGACAAGATGAAGAACTGATTAAATTTTTGCGAAGGCAGGTCCAGCGGTTATGGACTCTCAATAAAAATAGGTTGAAAAAGTGTCATTTGGCAGTCAAAAATGTTTATAGGACATTGGACTTATGCACAACAAATTATGAAATATTTTATAGAGATTTTCATAATGTGTACACATTTTGTGTAATTTTTTTTGGGTTCCATACCAAGATTTTTAATTACGGTACGGGAAGTTCCAGCAATTTGCCTGAAGGCACGATGCCATGCACCCCACTAGTTAAACTCACTTTTTGGCGTAATCATAAGAGATATAAAAAAATTACATGGTTCTACTCACATTGGCTTAGACCATATTATGTAAAATCATCGATGCCAAATAATCATTTATTATTAGCTAAAAAGATAAAATAATTTTTGATTGATGTTTCCGGATAGTGCGTTTAGTTGGACCACTTCCTAATTTAGCGTTATTGGAAAGCCTATTGTTTTTTCTTCTAGTACGCAAATATTGTACAAATCAATTTTGTCGAACACATTGGAGAATTAACAAAACCTGAGCCAGTACACTCGCAATGCGCCCGACACGATTCTTAAGAAATTCTGAATGTTAAAATATTTATTATATAGTTATATAATATGTATATATACACACAATTCTAAGTTTCACTTGTTCTTGAGATACTGGTGCTGGGTCGTCTTACCCGCGGACCTTTAAGCCCTGCTCTACCCTATTTCAAAATCTCTAAATAATTTTACCATTTTCAAAACGCTGTAAATATTCTAAAGAAATCAATTGTTTGATTAAAACACTATTCTAAATATTATTTTAGATATTCTCATATGGAATTCAATTTTGTGCTATTGAATATTCTGTAAGAAATATTCTTAAACTTATAATAATATTGAATAACTAAAAAGGACTATGTTTAACTGAAATCTAAAATTTTGGCTTAGGTTATGTAATATTTTATAACATTTAATGCAGAGTTAGAAAGATGAAGCCAATAATTTGTAATTGCGGATTATCCTGTTCAATTTGCTTGTACTTTCACGGAACAGGAAAAATATTTCGTGCGCGATGTCTTTAACATACCGGTTCAAAGATCAATATTCCTTCTCATTATTTGGTAAACATTTTATATTCAAAATCGATTATATAGCTTTCTACAGCTATAAACGGGGCCAATGTCACAAATATTAATGACGATTCCATGGCGCATGACTAGTTCCGAATGATTCATCTCGTTTTGTGAAACGGTTATAATATATTAGTTACAATTACAACTATACGTGTTACTATATGTTAAATATATGGTAAATATTTAACTTCCCGAAGGAGAAGTTTATGTTTTCATCAAAAAATCCGAATCGCTAATTTTATGTTTTCTCGACGTTTCGAGCCATTCTGAATCGAATGAGACCAAATTTGGAAAAAGTATGTGTGTGTGTGTGTGTGTGTGTGTATGTGTGTGTGTGTGTGTGTGTGAACAGATTTTTTGCCGCAAATCGACGTTTTCTCCAAAACGGTTTCAAAATTAAATTTCAAAAATTTAAAAGCCATTTGATGTATCTCGATAAGGACTATCGTCTCTGAGTTTTGGGCGGCGATCGGCCGGGCCGTTTCTTTGTAAATTGCAGAAAAGTGAAAAATTTTTCGTCCACGTTTTAGCCCGCATTTCTGAATCGATTCTGAAAATTCAAAAACCGTTCGATAGATATTGGTTGGGAATCGTGCTGATTAGTTTTTGGTAAAGATCGGCCGGGCCGTTTTCTTGTAATAAAGTTTTTAAAAAAAAAATTTTGACTATTTTTATGATTATTTTTTTGACGATAGATACCATAGTTTTCTAGGCCATACTAAAATATTACGGTCCTACGACAACTGGTTCAGCTTTAAAAATTCGTCAAAGTTTGCAAAAATCAGTATGGTCTTTTTGGCATTTGTCAAAATTAGACTTTTGATCGACGTTTTCTCAAAAACGCCTGAACCGATTTTAGAAATTTAAAAGCCATTTGATGTATTTCGGTGAGGACTATCGTTTGTCAATTTTGTGCAACGATCTGCCAAGCCGTTTCTTTGTAATTTGAAAAAAAGTGTTGAACTTTTCGTCCACATTTAAGCTCATCCTACCGAACCGATTTTAAAAAATCAAAAACTGTTCGAAAGATATCATTTGGGAATGATGCTGATTAATTTTAGGTGAAAATCTACCGAGCCGTTTTCTTGTAATTAACTGTTGAAAAAAGTGTTAAATTTTCGTCCACATTTAAGCTCATCCTACCGAACCGATTTTGAAAAATCAAAAACTGTTCGAAAGATATCATTTGGGAATGATGCTGATTAATTTTAGGTGAAAATCTACCGAGCCGTTTTCTTGTAATTAACTGTTGAAAAAAAGTGTTAAATTTTCGTCCACATTTAAGCTCATCCTGCCGAACCGATTTTGAAAAATCAAAAGCTGTTCGAAAGATATCATTTGGGAATGATGCTGATTAATTTCAGGTGAAAATCTACCGAGCCGTTTTCTTGTAATTAACTGTTGAAAAAAAGTGTTAAATTTTCGTCCACATTTAAGCTCATCCTACCGAACCGATTTTGAAAAATCAAAAACGGTTCTAAAGATATCATTTGGGAATGATGCTGATTAATTTTAGGTGAAAATCTACCGAGCCGTTTTCTTGTAATTAACTGTTGAAAAAAGTGTTAAATTTTCGTCCACATTTAAGCTCATCCTACCGAACCGATTTTGAAAAATCAAAAACTGTTCGAAAGATATCATTTGGGAATGATGCTGATTAATTTTAGGTGAAAATCTACCGAGCCGTTTTCTTGTAATTAAATGTTAAAAAAAAGTGTTAAATTTTCGTCCACATTTAAGCTCATCCTACCGAACCGATTTTGAAAAATCAAAAACTGTTCCAAAGATATCATTTGGGAATGATGCTGATTAATTTTAGGTGAAAATCTACCGAGCCGTTTTCTTGTAATTAAATGTTGAAAAAAAGTGTTAAATTTTCGTCCACATTTAAGCTCATCCTACCGAACCGATTTTGAAAAATCAAAAACTGTTCGAAAGATATTAGATGGGAATGGTACTGATTAATTTTAGGTGAAAATCTACCGAGCCGTTTTCTTGTAATTAACTGTTAAAAAAAATTTAAGCCGTTTTTCATGGAACTTTTTTTGGCGATATACATCATGGTCTTATAGAACTTACTGTAATATTACGGCCTTACAACAAGTAGTTTAATTTTAAAAATTCGTCAAACTTTGCTAAAATTATTATCGTTTTTTTTTTTAAGTAGGATTGATGAAGTATATTATTTACACATTTTTTGATCAAGTCGATTATTTACACATATCGGGAAGTTCATGTAATTTGCCTCAAGGCTAAATACCAAACCAACTAGTTTCGTAATATGTTTATCCTTTATGAAATTACCTGATAGCGTTAATTTAATAACCACACAATATAATTTACTAATATATCATTACTTTAACTTTGAACATGCATATTTAAAGGATACTTTTCTCTAGAATAAATAATTGTTAAACATTTAATTAAACAATTATAAATTGAATTTTTTTTTGTTTTTTTCTAGAAGTACTAATACTGCCTATTAAGAAGTACTAATACTGCCTATTAAAATTATGTTATATTTTCATAATTCCACTTGATAGTTTAAACATAATTTTATAAAAACATTTAAGATTATATTAGAAAAATTAGTGAATCTTATTAATTCTTTCATTTGATCTAACAAGACAACAAAGAATTGTCCAAAAGTAAAAAAACTCCAAGAAAACCTAATAACACATTTGTACTCCAACTTCGAAAAGCCTTATTTTAGAGGCGTATCCTACAACAATCATTTAGCACTAAATAATTTTATTTGCTACAATGAATTAATTAAATTTTCACAGATGACATCTATGGCATGCTATTGTCGATTATTGACCAGATAATCTACTTTGGACTGCTATTACTTAACTATTCACGGTATGCAAATTTAATAGTATTGGTAATAGATATTGACCATCGAAATTTAAGTATGCAGTATGTATTATGTATAAACTATCCAATGATAATTCAATAAGTATATGAATAATAACTAGTGGTGTATGGCATCGTGCCTTAAGGCAAATTGCTGGAACTTCCCCTACCCTTCTCCCTTCTCGAGTATTTAAAATAATCTATTTGAAAACATGTATTCAAATATATTATTATAAATACTGTTACATTGTCTAATATTTATAAGAATGATATAAACTGAATTTCAAAGTTAAAATTATTTATTTAAAGTATATCAGTAAGCTTAGGCTGAATTAAAATTAAAGTCCGAATTGTTTTTGATATTCAAAAAAATTTTTTGAAAAAAAAATATTTTAAAATATTTTTTTCTCTTCAAAAGCAATTGTTTTGTCGACACAAGCAGAAAGTTTTCTGAATCATTCAAAATCGGATGCCATGATATGCACATTTAGCTCTGTATCTTTGAAATGGCCGCACCTACCTTTGGCAAAAGCTAATCACTAACATCTCCCCAAAATTACGAATTAAATGTTTTTTTAATCATTGCAATCGGATGCCCGGTTCTCGTAAAAACCGAGTTTCTAGTAACTGCACTCTTTGCATCGTACCTCGGAAACGGCTGAATCAACCTTTCTCAAAAACTAATCAGCACATCTCCTTATCAATAGAAATTGATTGCTTTTTCAACCATTCAAATCGGTCCTTCAAAGTTACGACTCTATAAAATACTATGAAATATGAATAAATACTGAATAAGATAACATTTCTGAGAACTATTTTCATAATTTATTCAAAGTTATGACTAAACTATAGAAATACTATAGAAAATGAATAAATCTTATATATAAAAATGAGTTGCAAAATGTGTTGGTAAGCGTATAACTATACAACGCCTAGACCAATTTGGCCAATTCTTTTTTTAAAATGTTTGTTGAAGTCCAAGGATGGTTCTTACGGCGAGAAAAAATCGAATAATTACCGGGATAACCCTAAATACAGCCCTTTTCTTTTTCACATACAAATGTTTTCTAACTAAAACGCAGAATCAATTTGAGCTTTAATTTGTTATAACGCGTAAATAAATAAGGTGATTTAGAGAATTTATAAAGGTAAACTGGTGAACAAGTAAATTGGAGGATATGTAAAATGGTAGAGAGGAGAACTGTTAGCCGAATATGTAGACAAATAAACAGGTTGACAGGTTAATTGATAGACATTTAGAACGAGATAACAGGTAAATTTGTAGGCCGGTAAAATGGTAGATTGATAAACAGGTTGATAAGTAAATTAGTAGACAAATTGATAAACAGGTTGATTGTTCAACAGGTAACTTATTGAACAAGTTAATTGGTAAACATTTATAACAAGATGACAAGTAAATTGTCTGACAGGTAAAATAGTGTATTGATAAACAGGTCGATAGGTAAATTGGTAGACAGGTGAATTGGTAGACAGGTGAATTGGTAGACAAGTAAATTGGTGAAAAGATAATTTGTTGAATAGCTGGTGTTCAGGTGAATTGAAGGATATGTAAAATGGTAGGCAGGACAGGTGAATTGGTAGATAGACAATTAACAAGACGGATAAACAGGTTGACAGGTAAATTGGTAGACATGTGAAACGGGTTGATAGGTAAATAGGTTGACAGGTAAATTGGTAAGTCGGTAAAATACTTGAACACATAGTAGTAACGTTAAACTAAATGTAAAAAATACACATATTTGTTCAACTTTTTAATTTAAACTAAATCACGGCTAGTACTGGATAAAAATTCTGAGAAATATTTCAATAACTATTTGTAAGGCAAATTTTTAATCAAATCAATTTGTGGCATGCTCCACATGCTGCGATCTTTATTTCATTAGTTTTATATCAATTGTGAGCATCAACCATGAATATCAAAATTAAAAACGCCACAAACATTCAAATCATTAGCACAATTTTTTTGGAATTTAGATATTGAAGTAGGTACTATGTGCTCACAAATATTTGAATTTTCATTTGAGTCCAGATAGTATAGATTCATATGATCCCTATATATTATGCGCACAAATTAATATAAGTTTGTAATATATTTTCATATTATTAATTATATAATAATACTAGCAAACCCGACGAACTCCGTTTCGCCACCAGATGGTTTCGTGAGAAAGATGAAGAAATTTTTTGTTTGTTTTATATTTGAAAAGGAAAAATGTGATTTTATTATACAACAGTAATGAATTTATTTCGATTACAAAAATGAAGTGTTTTTTAGTTGAACTTCTCTAAGTAAATGAAAGTGAATCCGCAAATTATCCATTGAAGTGCTCTTTGGTAAACCACATTTTTTGTTTTTTGGTCTGACGTTAACACAAACAAAGCGGATGGTTTTCCAACTCGTGAACAGGCAACGTATAACTGCCCATGTGAAAAACAATGATTTTCTAAGTAATCTATTTGTAATTTATCCCGCAAACACTAAGCGATTGGCCTTGCGACTTGTTATTGCGAACGCAAGACGAACTGGGAATTGCAAGCGTTTGAAGTCAAATGGAAGACTAGTCGGAATCATTGGTATGTCACCAAATCGCCAGCAATTTTTGATTAAATGGTGAAATTCAGTGCGTGTACATCATTATTCTTTGCGGCAAGAATTGCTCGTTGACTTAACCAAGCATAATTCTGATAATTCTGACTAATGTCATTACTCAAATTTTTAATTACGGTGCGTGAAGTTCCAGCAGCTTGCATTAAGGCACGATGCCATGCACAACTAATTTTCTTAGCTATAAACCTTGCGGAGCCCGAGACCTTTCCAACGAATGCAAAATTGTCGAAATCAGTTCGTGCGTTCTGAAGTTATTTCGTCAGGAAGGAAAACCCGACTTATTTTTATATATATAGAAGACTACTAACCTAAGGGATGCTGTTATGGACGACACAATCTGGCCGACAATTCGATTCAAATTAGTATACGTCGGTCGTTCTATATCCAAATTTCGACGGCAAATATCGTATATCGCCTCGTTGTCACACATGAAAGCAGCATCAGAATGCTCAAGAGTCGTATGGGTCGTTAATATGGAATTGTATGGTTCAACCACAGCCGTAGAAACTTGAGGAGCTACAATAAATTTTTTGTGTATAGTTTCAAGTTTAATTTGATTAAGATTATTTTTAATTTTTACCTGGGTAAATTGCAAACTCCAATTTGCTCTTCTTTCCATAGTCGACTGACAAACGTTCCATAAGCAAAGAAGCAAAACCAGAACCAGTTCCACCGCCGAAAGAGTGAAAAATTAGAAACCCCTGATGAAATGAAGATATAACTTAAAAATTAAAATTTAAATTCATTTATTAGTTTGATTTTTCAATGTTGTAAACTGTTAATTAACTTTTCAGAAAAGAAGTTTATGTTTCGACAAGATAATCCGAATGGCTAAAAATGTTTTCTAGATGTTTCAAGTCATCCTGAATTATTTGATCCTAATTTTTAAAAAAAAAAAAAAAATGAGTTTATGTAAGCCAAAATTTGACCTTTCGTCGATGTTTTCACCAAAGCCAATTGATGAAACTGAATAAGATCAACGTTGATTTGCGATCGGTCAAACGTTTATTCAGAAATTGCAGAAAATTGCACATTTTTTCGCAAAAAACCCTCAATTTTTTTTGTAAATTTAAAAAAAATCTTTCAAAATATACCAGATAGAAATCGTGCTCTTTAAGTTATATTCTAGCACGCAATACTGAACATACTGAAATTTTTGTATGTCTTAACAAGTCTGGACTGAAAATAAGAATTTAGAAATAGTTTTAGGTAGCATAAATCACCTCAATCTTCTAAATAAATTTCAAATCCATGTATTTTATGCGATTTAATACCTAATTTTTATATATTAAATCCAGAATTATTAAAAATAAAAAAATTAACGTGCGTGTTTATATAATTTTGAGAGGAGGGGTCCCTAGAAAAAATGGCATGCGTCGCAGAGGACCCCGTAATTTAGAGTTACGTGCCGGATGTGAAAAATCGCACAGTTGGATATAATAAATATAAATTAAAATAAATTTAAAAAACAAAAATAAAAAAATTAGCAACTTCATAAATTGAATTGAATTGTCAGTTAGCTAACTAAATTCAATTTTAAATGTGACATGATATTTGAATATTACAAAATAAAATAATTATTTTCTATTTTTCTATTTGGAAAACAATTATTTTCTATTTTTACGAATAATATAATATAATATTCAAATATCATATCATTCATATCATCATATCACGTTAAAAGTTGAGTTAATAATATGCGACTTTGTTATATGTAGTGTGCATTAATAATTAATTTGTCTTGGGGATAGTTATATCGTATTGGGGCTTTGAAAGAAAAATTATCTGCATTATTTAGATCCCCACCTGAAGACCTGTGCATTGATCCGCCAGTTTTCTCATCCGATCCAAAACTATATCGACGAGTTCTTTGCCAATAGTATAATGTCCCCTAGCATAGTTGTTAGCAGCATCTTCTTTGCCAGTAATCAGTTGTTCGGGGTGATACAATTGACGATATGTTCCGGTACGAATTTCATCTAAATGAGGAATAAATGCTAAATGAAAACTTTACGATTTTAGTCAAATTCAATCTACCAAGACCATTTATTCTTCTATTCTTAGTTAATATTCACTTTGATATTATAATTATTACATTGACGCACCGACTACCGTAGGCTCCAAATCGACCATAACCGCCCTAGGAACATGTTTTCCGGCGCCAGTTTCACTAAAGAAAGTATTGTACGAATCATCGCCGCCGCCAATTTGCTTATCAGATGGCATTTGGCCATCAGGCTGAATGCCATGCTCCAAACAATAAAGCTCCCAACATGCATTGCCAATCTGCACTCCGGCTTGCCCGACATGTACTGAGATGCATTCACGCTGAAAATATATTACAAACGTCAAATGACATGTATAATTGTTTCCATTCATTATTTTGATTCATCTACATTTATTTATATATTTATCTAGAAAAAAAATCTAAAAAATAAATATAATTTCTTATAAAGTCAATAAATTCTCATTTGTTGGATTAATGGTGTAAAAATTGACATTTGATTTTAAACATTATTATGATAAATATTATTTGTTTTCGAAATAGGCTCATATAAATATATATGTATGATTAATCACACTCACCATATTACTGCTATTTTATTTGCAATTACAAATAGATATTTTAAGGAACTAACTAATGTTTTCTTGATTCGATAAATTTACTTGTTCGATCCGTTCTGTCGATTTTCATTTGTTGGTGCAAACCAAAGCTTGCCTGTGCCGGATTTGATTCGGGCCATTTTTTTTTTTGACGTATTAAATTTAAATCATTTTCGAGATGTTTGATTTTGAAAAGAATTCTAACGTATTTATGTCATACGTGATTAGCATAGCAAAGAAGATAAAATCTGGCTTCGTATACGACATTTTTCCAATTGAATATATGATTGAAACTCTAGCAATAGTTTTCAGATATTTTTGGTTCAAATAAAAAAATAAGTAACGCGTTAATTTTAGTATACAATTTTATATATTTCCTGTAGCGTATAATAGATGGAAGATGCGAAAGACAATGAATCTAAGCTCGATCCTCCAGAATCATTCAATGTATTCCCGTAATGGAAATAATTAACATTGGTATTACAGTGTACTTTTACTTTTTAACAATGATTTGGTATTTTAAGATGGTTGTATAAATTATCTGATGGATTCATAGCCGGCGCATTGGGAGTGGCTGTTGCTCATCCCATAAATATAGTGAAGAACAGATTCGAAAATCAAGTAATGAGTCCAGTTACAAATAGAAAACTTTACAGATCGCTGTAAGCCCTCTAATATTTTCGCTTTTTGATAAAATATTTATATATAATGATGTTAGAATCGAATGCTTGAAATGGACCTGGAGAAGAGATGGTTATTTTGGATTATACAAAAAGGCTTCCTTCAATATTCTGTCAGTATCACCAGAGAAAGCCATCAAACTCACATTCAACGATTACTTCTCCTATAAAATGGATTCAGGCCGTGATGATGAGTAAGTATTTTTCAATAATTTCTTGAAAGAAATAAACTTTGTTGCATATTAAGCAATATTTGTGAATTATTGCAGAGAACTTCCTTTGGGCGAGCAAGTTTGTGCAGCAGGTATGGCCGGCATGTGCCAGTGCGTGACAACACCATTAGAAATGTTCAGATGCAGACTTCAAGCTGCGGAAGGAATGTTGTTTGGACTTGGATGTTAGTAAATAGTAGTTTATCGCTTTTTAATAAAACCGGATTTAAAATAAAAATAGTTTAAACAGTTACAGCGTCGAGAGCTGTGCTTGCTCTGCGTCCGAATTCTTTCTCGATAATCCGGTACATGTATCAACAAGGGCTGATGGCCCTGACAATCAGTACTCTCTTAAGAGATATTATGTTTACGATAGTATTCTTCCCATTTTTTCAATTAATGAACGGAGGATCGGACAAAAGACATAATTCTTCTAGGTATGAAAAATATTTGTAACTGCTTGTATTGCATTTTCTTTTAATACATTATATATATCGACGATTATATTAAATAGCAAGTCATTTGCTTGTGGCTTTGTCTCAGGAGGATGTTCATCAGCACTCGTGACACCTTTCGAAGTAATTCGTAGCCATATTTCAAATTGTCGTTGGAAGAATATTAACCAGTTCAAGACCATTCGCGACAGCATCATGTAATACAGTTACTTTATTTTTTTCACTTTTCAAGTTTAACTAGTTATTCCGTGACCACTCAATTTATATCATTATTTTTAGGAATATTTATATCAATTATGGAATGCGGGGATTTTACTATGGCGCATTTCGCAGGTCATTGGTAGCTGCTCCACTATTTGGCGTGACTGAAGCGACTTACCATCTGGGAATATCTAATAAAATCGGAGAAATCGTTGCGGAAGTTTCTGATGATATTTGATTATGTTTGTAAATTATTTTGTAGAATAAAATGGTAAATTTTAAATAATTTTGCAATGTTCATATTATCATTTCTAGTAATAATAATACAAAAATATTATTATTACTTTATAATTTTAATAAGTTCCATTTAGCTTAACGCAAGATGCATAAACTTTCCGATATTAAATAATTGATTTAATAAATAAGAAGTGAAAATTTGACAAACTTTTAAAATCGTCACCAGAAAAGTTTGAAAGTATTGCGCAACCCAGTATTAGTAATAATAAAAAATCAATGATAATAAATAATAAATATTATTATTATAATATAAACACTATGGTGCTCGTTTAAAGACTAAATATTCAATAATAATAACTTACAGTTAGAAAATTATTTATAATTGATATCGGGTTAATAGAGGATCCATGGCAAAGCCCAAGGGGTCGGTCCATAGTATAACTCTATCGACCTTATCATCGTAAAAACTTTGATAAAAAAGGAGATTTTTTCGCAATTAATTATGAAATAGCCGATTTTTACCTAAAACTCATCAGCAAGATTCCGAACTATCTAGCGGAAATCGGCTCGTGATTTATGTCCAAAACGTGAACAAATAATTATTTTTTATCTAATTCTAAAGAAACGGCTCGCGCGATCGTCTACCAAAACTAACTGAAAAAAATGGTATCTTTGCAGCTGTCTTTGAGAAAACGTTGACAAAAGATCAAAAAGATTGGACAATTTACTTACAAGATTGGATAATAGTGAACACACAAAGTAAGATGATAGTGATGTGATCAGAGATGAATTAATTAGAAGAACAGCTTAGTTAACTCTCTTTTATAAATTTGTTCTCCAAGAATTTTTTTTTAATCGGTTTTGATATTCTTCCATCTTCAATTTTTGTATGAATAATCTGAGTCTACAAGTTCTTATCCTGTTCAATACATAGTGCGAACAGGCGCGACATTTGCACTCATAGCTTTGTAACCTGTAATGATTCCATTTAAAATAAATAAAATTCATATTAATAATTCATTTAAATTGGATGTGAT